AAGTATCTCGAATAAATTCAAAATTTCCAAATCCGTAGATACTCTTATATAAATTCAAATAATTTCCAATAATGTTTATGGAATTTTTGTACAGAAAATTTATTTCTACTTGATTTTATAAAATAAAGCAATAAATAAAGCAAATCGAATGTATAATTGTTAAAACAATAATCGAATATTTTAACAATTGAAAAGCGATTGTACAGTTAAGAATTTAATTTTTTTTTTTTAGCATTCTGATTGTATCATTATTTAGAAATTAAAGGGTAGAAAGTCATCTCCAAACACAATAAAAATTTGATATAAAAACAGAATTTCTAAATTAGATAAAAAAGAGGAAAAGGTAGAAAAGAATTTTGATATTTTCAGTTTGAGAACAAGTGAAATTTTAATCTAATCAAACACTTTTGAAAAAATGAAGACTGCAATATAACACATTTTTCTAAATTTATTTGAAAATAAAACAACGGAATATAATATAAAAACACAATCCAGAATGGAAATCATTTCTTCGAAATCAAATTAAAAGACGTTTAAAATAAGAAACTCGTTTTATAATCGCTAGATAAATATGAAGAGCAGAAAGAAGAGATAATATTTTCTTGATGAGAGACAGAATATATAATCAATAATTTGAATGAAATCAATGATATTAAATTCGCTAAAAACTTTTTGCCAGCTGTTTAAAAGCAATTTTGATTTTTATCATCATTATAAGAAATCGTACTTTCTTTCCGGATTAAATTTTAAAGGTACTTTTAATTTTATCTACATCCAAGTGCTTAGATCTTGGATAATAATCATGATTTAGAACCTATTAAAATACATTATTGTTTAGATTAGAAGATCAAAATTAAGCTTTTTACCTGTTTAATATTTTCGAATTAGTTTTAAAATATTCATATTTTTAATTTTTTAAAGTATGTTATATAATCGATTTATAAACATTCAATCGGATTCACACATTTTTAATTGAATGATACGCTAACTTCTCAATGTAAGAATGGGAAAATTAATTTTTTTTGTCAAAATATATATATTCTGCTTTAAAAAATTCAGTGTTTAATACTTTATTGAATGACAAATACTCATCTACATTGAACTGAATTAAGGATAAATATTAAATTATAATCGGTACGTCAGCTATAAATAATAATGCCGCATATGATATAGCAATGCTTCAATAATTTTAAATATTAATTTAGTTTTATTTAAGTAGCTTTTAACAGATAAAACAAATACAAAGAGAATACCGCTATGACGGCATTTTATCTGTAAAAGTTTCAGAAATATTAATTCCTGATGTTTCGTTTAATCCGTAGTTTTAAATGGCAACTTCTCTAGCTTATAAATTATGCAAGAAGGATACATTTATTGCATTAAATCAACTGAAGTATTTTCTAAGCGAAATAGTCAAGAGTTATAATAATTGTATGCAATAGCTAAAGACATTATTGAGCATATATATATACGATAAAAATAAAAATGAATTGAAATTAAAATTCTCTTACATTCCTAAGACGAAGTCTCTGAATATTTCTGTTGTCATAAATGAATTTTGTGTGAAGAAAGTATTAAATTGTTTGGACAATATTATAGAATTGAAATTAATGTGAGCTGTGCACGTGGAGTTTTTTGGGTTTTATCCACGTTTATAACACCTAGTTAGGGCCATATTTTCATAGAAAGTTCTCCCTTGGCAGATCGCCGTTGTGTTGCATTATCTCAGCTCATCAAACCAAATATTTTGTGAAATATTTTTTAAAATACCTGAAATGAAATTCAAATTTCTTAAGTCACTTTAAAATACATAAAAATAATAAAATATCAATCTGTGATGCTGAAAGTTTAAATTTCATTCAGCAACATTCAAAGAATTATTTTAATTCTATTTATTTACTTAAATTTTATTTGAATTCAACGTACTGTACAAAGCGGTTAAGCATCATCCCACTGCTTTAGAGGAGGAAGGATCGAATCCTACGAATGAAAAATTCTAGGAAATTTTCGTGGATGGTCTGTCCCGAAAAAGTTAGGCCCCGTGTCTCACTACCCGGCTGTATCCCATTGTAGGCCTAGCCAAACCACAATGGCTTAAAACAAGACACTCTTAGTGTCAAAAGGGCTCTAATTTTGAGGGTAGGGATGGGCTTTATAAAAATGATATTATATATATTATTGTGAATGATAATAACGAGTAAAATCGTCATTAAGTCCGACTCTATTAGAGATACACACGACCCCACTATCTCCCCACCCCTTCGACCTTTGCTTACCAAAATTTAATAGTATCAATCCCCTAATAAATAAATCCCCTTGCAAAATTTCAGAAATTTTTGACAAAAAACACAGGAGTTATTAAGCTTCAAACAGGCTGAACAAAATCGTGCCCCCATACACACTTAACATCTATATACACAGGAAAAAAATTCCCATTTTTTTGCATTTCTCGTCGTTTCAAGGTTTCCTGAGTCCAAAAATATAAAAATCTGTGGAGGAGGTCATTTTTGACCGATTGCCACACTTTCCTTCTGTTATATATAACAGCCGGAAAAGTAAAAAGAGTTAAATTCAAAAAATAGTTTTTCTCTTTACTAATTCTTACATGATGCTACAATATCCATTCTTATATTGATTAACCTATGTAAGGATCGGTTCTTTTAATCGATATAGATCCTAGCCTAGCCTTAGGTAAACAACTCAAAGCTGATCTTTGTTTATGAACAGCTTTGAGTTGTTTGTTAGAGGGTTGACGTACTGTACATGTAAACAACACTATAAAACCATTCACATATAGAGATAAATCGGTCCGTCGGCATTGTTTTCTTTAAATTAAAGCGTCCGACACAAACAGCACGTGGTAATATTCTGGACTTTCGATTGGTCAGAATACCCAACTTGAAGAAAGAATGAGGTAAATAAAAGGGAAAACTACACTCGAGAGAAAGAGTGAAGAAGATTTAGAAGATTTGGAGAGCTAAGTCGTGGAATTGATCCTCAAACTGGAGCGAGATACAGTATATCCCGATGTAAACTTCATGGCCTTAAGACATTTCTCCATAATCTTCATCCTAAAGATAGCAGAAGTAACTTCTCCGCAACAAACATTTCTGAAAAATATTTTGGGAGACCATTCTCCTTTCGTTATAACCTCTCAATATTGTACAATGTAGGCAATCCCGTATATCTTATTTTATAATAATATAGATATTACATCTATAATATCTTTCTAATATCGGTAATTACGATTATCAAAATCACTATAACGGGTACTGCGAAGAGTTCTATACTGCGCGACAGTTCAATTTATTAAAAACAACCCCGGATTTTTAAATAAAAAATCTGATATATAAAAAACATTTGAGTCAGTTACCTCTATTTGAAATATGTATACAAATTCAGACAAGCTGATGTTATACTTGCGAATATAAAGATATTAAAAAATACGTTTTTTAAATAAATTGCTGTTATAACTTTGATTTAAATCTTGCTTTGTTATTTAGTTAAATGCTTTATTAAATTTACTGGTTTATATAAATAATACGTAGAAAAAAAGCTACAGGCAATGCAAAGATTTCAGATCAAATCCATATCTAAATGGAAAGAATTTTTCTTACAAGTCATATCGAAATTATTATTTCTGATAATATGAATGGACAGTAATGAATATTCTAATTATAAATTATATATATGTATATATTATCATAGTCTTCTTATTGTATAACTATATCCCATTTGAAATTTAACGATAAATATTTAATACATATAAATATTTTTTTACCAGTGGCCAGTGACAAAACCACGAAAAACTGGTAGTTTAATCGCGGGTTCGTGCATACCAACGCGCTGGCCACGTGGTATTTTCCGGATTTTATTCATGTTTCTAACACCCAAATAGGAACCAGTGTTATACTTCAATAAATTTGTTTTTATCAATAAAAAGTAAAATAATTTTTAATTGATTAAAATAAATTTATTGAAGCATAACATTTATTAACTACTAAAATCAGTTTTTATTAACTTTTATTAACTTTAATATTAAGAGTCCATCATATTTGATATTTTAAAGTTACAAGAAATTTCTTATTTTCATTTTTATTATCGAAGAATAATCATTTTTATTTTAATAGTTGTAGTTTAGTAAATAACTTTTTATACAAATTATTTTGTAGTCCTAACTTTCTAAATTACTCTGTACACAAAGTTATATCCAATTCATATTTTTTACTTCAAACTTAATAAATAATAAATATATTAAGTGCATCTTTCTTTCTTTCTTTCAAAACTGCCATAAAAATTTCTGAAAACATTTTTAAATCTATAGTTTTTTTTAATTTTTATCCAAACTTAATTAACAATTCGATTCGAATAAATAAATATAAGCAAGTAAAAAGTTATTTACATGGCGAAAAAGTAAATAAGGAATAAAAATAAAATAAAATAACACAAAACAATACTCCAAGTTGAAAAACGTTTTCAAGCACTACTGAAATATAAATGAAGCTGATTTTTCGATTTTTATTTATTTTCAACAAATATAAAAATTTCTAAAATAAAAATTCATTTTCGAATTTTGATTAAATTTGCATTAATTGTATTGCTTTTTCGGTATTTAGATAATTTCATTCATCTGTAACTCTATCTATCAATATCTACGTTTTAATTATTAGCTATATAATATAAATGTTGAATAAAAAGCTGAGGTACCCGGCTTCTCTCGGAAAAATGATATATTAAGTAAAGGTAATATATTCATATAAAAATACACACGGAAAAAGAATACGTACTTATAATAAATCCGACCAAAAACTATTTTACATCGAAATTTAATCTAAACACAGTTTATTGTTTCAGAAGGATTCGGTCATTCTCAAGTGATACTCGAACAGGCAGACATACAGATGTGAATTTGAAGTAGCCTGGCGAAATAGCCTTTCCAGACTATCCTGAATATATGTACCAAAATTCATAGAAATCAGTTCAGTCGTTGTCACAACAAACAAACAAACAAACAGGCAGATGGGAATTCAATTGAATTCGTGGCAAATTTTAAAAATATTGTAATTAAACTTTTTAGATAATTTTGATAATTTTGTAATATACTTTAATTAAAACAAATTAAACAACAATGCCAATGTCGCTTGATTATACCCAAGACAATATAAACTTAAGATGTATATGAGTTAATATACATCTTAATGTTGACATCATTGCAATTATAAAGAAAATTCCTTTAATAAACATCACGTTACTGTACAATAAAATAAGAGATCAAATTGAAGATTAAACGAGCTTACATATGAGTAAATGAAAATTGTTAATTGTTTTGAATAGATTAACAACTAAAATTGTCAATCTATTCCAAAAGACAAGTATTTAATATAATAAACACAAAATAATTGTGTAACAACAAATTATGAAGATATAAAACGTACTCTACAAAATTACTTAAATATAATTAGTTATTTTTAAACAAATATAAGCCTGGTTCNTTGTTGACTATTGTAAATTGGTGCTTCAAAAAACTGTCATAAATTAATTAATTCAACTGCGTGATTAAGTTATTCCCTTTTCTTTCCTAAGCGAAGCAGATTTATTCTTATCTCTATTTATCAAACCCTAACATTGAATGCAAGACTGTATAAATAGTGTTCGAGTTATATGGCGCATTTGAACTCGTCTGTCAAAAAATTGGCGCATGGTATGCAAAAGGTTGGCCACCCCTGACTTAAAGTAACTATTCATCGCGTATTCCTGACTATAATCAAATACTTTTATTTCTATAATTACGTATCTGCTGTTGTTCATTATGAAAGCAATAAACTATTCGTTAGTACTAACAATAATTTATTTCACAAAAATAATTTGCGTTAAACGCATAAAAAATAAACTAAAAAAAGAAATAAATAATACGAAAGAATACATATACTATATATTTTAGGCTATCACATTATTAAGAACTAATGTAATATAATTATATATATTATATATATTTTCCATATTGAATAAATTGTATAATATTTGTTTCGAGTATAGGCTTTATTACATACTATTTACTATATCGTTAGTTAATTTACTGTATTTTTGGTAAAGTATTTTAGGGTGATATCATTTACTTTTGCTATAACAGTTTTATGTGAAATAATATTCGTTTCTATCACTATTTATCTTTTTTTATTATTGTCAGGCGACTTAGTGACGAAGGCAAACGAGAATTTTTGATCGACTTCATTGTGGTTTATTACACATCTTCAAATAAAAGAAAATTCAGACGATGAATAATATTAAACGACCTGGAAATAAGTATTATGACGTTAAAGTTTCGAAGTAAAATTTCAGGAATATTACGGTGTCGCTAGAAAAGTTATGTGTTTCAAAATGGTAAAAGTATCTCGAATGCAAGAAATTTTATAATTTATAATAAATAACAAAGTAGTATACAGGGCCGCATTACTATAATATATTTCGGATTTGTTGGAGGTTTTTTAAAAGAAAAAACATTATTTTAAACCACAATAAGTTTTCAAACACAAGTAGCTTGTTGGCAAAAACAAAAAAGTTTTACTTATCCATTTCGGACTTGATTTAAAAAATATAATTTAATTGTTTCAGTAACATAACAAAATCGAAAGGGTACCAATACAAAATAATTGTATCAATAGATAGATTAACTAAATATGAATTCAGTTAATATATCTACTTATACAACTGTTTTAGTCACAGCTTTAAGCAGTTTAAGCTTATAGACGTTCATAACAAACAATTATAAAATAAGAGAAACGGAAATAACACTCGAAGATTCGTCGCCTTTCCCTTCAAGTATGTGCGGCCCCACGGTTTTATTTTACTAACGCGAAGTGGTAAGTAATTACAGTACTTCAAACATTTGGATCCGGCAGCTCAAAGACGTTATTTACATAAACTTCATTACATGGATGGAAGCTTCCCGACCTATGACCCGATAGACCAATTCGTTTCCTATTTATTCAAAGATGACATAAAGTCAAGGCTTACCATTACCGACCATATACGATTACTTCGTGAGGAGTTGTGTGTAGACCAAAATGAACAGCTAAAAAGTTACAAATGAATTGACAGTTATAATTATTTAATTACTGGAAAGGTGAAATAAGTGAATGTGTGCAAATTCACAAATTTATAGATAAGTTCAACATGAAAAAATTATTAAGATATAGCTAATAGTTTGACAGTGGCGACGTTGCAATCCAATTTGGATTGAAATCCCGCTCTCCATGTTTAAAATTACCTACATTTAGTTAGTACCCAATTCTTTTATAATGTCACAAAGATGAACCGATGCAATTCATCTTTGGGAATCTTATACTCTATAATTATATCTGGGATAACGCATTTAATCCAATCCTCATTCTGCATCCCATAGCTACATAACACTTTTAAATAATGATGGCATTGTGACTGACCTTTTCAGATATTATTTACGTCAATTTTTACAATATCAATATGTAATTTCATTACGAACAATTCTTTTCGTTGTGACAAATCAAAACAATGAAAAGTTGACCCAGTTTATTGTGACGTTCTTCCTTATAAAATAGTGTAAACACAAAAGACTAATGACAAGAGGGAAAAATAACGCAATTAATTATCGTGAGTTACAATTTTGTTTGGATAATTATGATAATCACTCTCATATTACTGCATTAAAGTATTTTTAGAAAGTAAACGTAGATAATATTATTATTGTAGAATTTTAGTTTCAGGCACAACAGAAACCGGATTTATGATGAATAAAATAATAATTAAATAAAATAAAATAAATAATTAATCGGGGTCTCCGACCCCTAAGTATCTCATTTCTGGTCTCGATGTTCATCTGTCTAGCTTCATTATCGAGATTAAGGAAGAACGAACGGAGATTAATATTGTGAAACTACTTAGCCGATTCTCATTGGAATTTGTTTGATATCTAACTAAACAAATGAAATTTTTTTTATTTTAAAACTAACTTACTGCAGTAAAATACTGACTATTAATTGAACTGGTAGCAAGCAAAAGCGCAACATTAAATAAGTAATGTAGACAAATTCTAACATATATTTAAATCAGTGCTATTCAATCTATGGATTTTATGGATTATATTTACATAATCTATGGATTATGGAAAATTACATTGGGTCGCACTGTTGAAATGTTTGAATATCATTGATTTAAATAATAATTTTGTACGACTCGTACTTATGGAGTGTACTAATGTTTCGAATAAGATAAAGGCAATGGTAAAAAACAACTGAACTAAATTTAATTATAGCAATTAATTACAACGATTAGGCATCCACCTTTCTTCTTCGTCTCGAAAACAATTAGTGCCCTCTTCTTTTTTTCTTTCTTCTGCCTCCTCGCGGGATTTTTCTCTAAAAGCTTCTTACATCTCGGCTACAACTGCTTTTAGACAAAACAATAGCTTTTGTTTAAAATTCTTCTCTATCCTCTAGAGACATTAGTAACAGTTTTTTTCTTTTTTTTTTTTTGTAGCTTTATTTGAACGAATCTGACTCACGTGTACGATCCTGTTATCTTGAATTCCCTCAATGAGATAGCTGACGGGGTTAACTATCCTCTTTACTATATATGGGCCTTTCATTTGCTCTGAAATTTATGTCTGTTTAAATGACGGTATAATACTAAGTCGTGTTCGTTAATCTTAGATTCGTGCTTATTTTTATCAAAAGATGTTTTATTTTAATCATGAGCTTGAGCAAGATTTTCAACTGCTTGAACTCGATTAATAAACAGCTCAGTCAATCTATTCTCAGCTTTTTTGTCCCTCTCTTAATCTTTGTATTTCTGGCGTTCTTGGCTCAAAACCGTGGAGTAAGTAGAAAGGACTTTGTTGCGTTGATTTGTGTTTCGTAGTATTATAAGCAAACACTGCTGTTGATACATGTCTTTTCCAAGCTGTGATATCCGTACTCTAGAAGACATCTTTAGGAAATACCTAAAGATATCTTCTAGAGTACGGTTTGTTCTCTCCACAAGTCCGTTTGCTTGGGAGTGGGCGCAAGTTCGGATATGACGAATTCTATAGTCCTCCAGAAAGTTTTCAAAATCTTCGGACACAAAAGACGTTCCTTGATTCGAAATGATCGTCTTTGGAAATCTATACACATCGAATACATTCTCTGTAAAACTCTGAATGTGATCTCTGTGCTTAAACTACTCACAGGGATAGCTATTAAATATCGGATAAAATAATCTATGCGCATTAAAATCCATCTTTTTGAATTTCTCGATCTTGATGGGAGTATCCCAATATGATCAAGTTCTAACATTCCAAAGGTCGCGATG